TGGAGCTGTGTAGGGCGGAGGGCGGGGCCATCACCGTGGACTTGAAGGACCCCCGGTGGAGAGCTGCTGGTAGCACTTGGCCACTGTGACTCCAGCTCGCCCAGGGTGGCCACTCTCCCACTGCGGGGACCTTCCTGTTCTGCCCCAAGGGCAGCTGAGGTCCCAGTGAACCTTGTCCCGAGGGCCGTGTTACCTGGGCCCAGGAATCTGGTCTTGGCCAGGAATGGTCTGGGCGCCTGCGTCTCCCCGGGTGTAAGTGGGAACGGGTCAGTGCCTCAGCCGGAGGATCCAGGTGGTCACGTCGCTGCTGGTGACATTGTCCCTCTGTCTCCACAGACGCAGCTGCTCTCCAGACTGCCCATCCCAGACAGCCAAGTGATCACCATTGACCCCACGCTGCCCGTGGAGGAGGCGGCCGAGGACTACGCCAAGAAGCTGAGACAGGTGGGTCCCTCCGAGAAGCCCTGTGACCGTCAGCAACCAGAGGTGGCCCTGGGGCCGCTCCGCAGAGGAAACACCCGGAGGACTCGGCCCCACGTGGGGGAGCTCTAGGGTTGCCTGGCTGCTGACATGCAGTGGTGGGTCCAGGTCCCTACATCTTGGGGACAGTTGTGTCCCCAGACCCAGGCCAGGACTCTTAGCCAGTCGGACACATGAAAAGTGGAACCTCAGATTAGAACCTCCTCGCTCACAAGCACCACAGTGCTGACTCCTGGGTTCCAGCTGCAGCTGCCCCGTGGGACCCTCTGGGGTGTTGATTCCTGTAGTCCCCGTCACACGCCAAGACCCGTGAGGTCGCTTCTACCGAGTGCCGTGGTGCTGACGTGTGACTGCAGGTCATCAGGGAGGGTGACTGTGATGCCCAACAGAATGCAAATACTAAGCACGTCGGGTGGCGCTTGTTATTTAGGGAATGATGACGAGGAAGAGGGCGCTGCTCAGTGTGGACGCAGCTTAGAAACTGTTTTCAATTCATTGTCAGTTAAATCGGACAACCCGGAGGCGGGGAGCAGAGGGCGGATAGCATTGTGTTCCTCCGACAAATCCCCGTTTGCTCCGATCCCCGCTCTCAACCCCTCTCCTCTGCCCAGGCCTTCCAAGGAGACTCCGTCCCAGTTTTCGACCTGCTGATCCTGGGGGTGGGCCCTGATGGCCACACCTGCTCCCTCTTTCCAGACCACCCGCTCCTGCAGGTGAGAGCACCCGCGCAGACCCTGCGGCCCTGTGTCCTGAGCCCCTGGTGTCTGGAGCTTCCAGAGGGTGGTGGCCCAAGGTGGCGGTGGTGGCCAAAGCCAGGGCTGACACTGGCCTGCACCAGCCCCACCTCCCAGCCCTGCTGAGCCCCACGGGACCCGCCCTAAACAGAGACCTCCAGCAGCTCAGCAGGGAGCACTGACCGAGCAGGTGTTCCATCTCCATGTTTTTTGATTTCCATCTCTGCAAAAAAAGGTGGGGGGACCTTAAATCACCTGCCCTAGGACTGTTGGGAGAGCATGGGGTGAGGGATGGGCCAGGCCTGGTGTGCACGCGTGTTCAGGCAGTACACGTGACGCTTGTCTTCTGTTCCCCAACACGGGCCTTCCTTCCCCAGGAGCGAGAGAAGATCGTGGCCCCCATCAGTGACTCCCCAAAGCCACCTCCACAGCGTGTGACCCTCACGCTCCCTGTACTAAATGCAGCCCGAACTGTTATCTTTGTGGCCACTGGAGAAGGCAAGGCTGCTGTTCTGAAGGTAATGGCCAGGGGTTCCAGTCCCAGGAGGGTTATGGGCACCAGGGATACGACCAAAATATGACCCCAAATGCTATTGTGCTAGAGAAATCAGATCTGAAAATAGTTCGCTGATTCTTGAGTCAAAGGGGGAAATCAAAGTTGCAGTTATGGGCTAGTTAGGAATTAACACACATGAAATGAAATTGATGTAGCATGGCCAAAGATGTGCTCAGACGTCAATTCATGCATTAAATACATAATTTTTTGTTTGTTTGTTTTTTGTACCAGGGATTGAATCTAGAAGTGTTTGACCACTGAGCCACGTCCCTAGCCCTTTTTGTTTTATTTTGAGGCAGGGCCTTGCTAAATTGATAAGGACCTCACTTGCTGAAGCTGGCCTCAAACTTGCAATCCTTCTGCCTCAGCCTCCCAGATTGCTGGGATTACAGATGTGTGCCACCACTCCCAACTTAAATGCATAATTTAAAAAATTTTTTGTTGTTGTTACTGGAGATTGAGTCCCTACCATTGAGCTGTGCCCCCAGCCATTTTATTTTGAGACAGGGTCTCGGTAAGTTCTTGAGGCTGGCCCCAGCCTCCTGAGTTGCTGGAATTACAGGTGTGTGCCACCATTCCCAGAACTTAAATGCATTTTTAAAATTATTAAAGAGGAAACAGTAAATGCTTTATTTTAGAATTAGGAAGAGGTCAATAATATTCAATTAAAGAGGGCTGGGGTTGTGGCTCAGTGTTAGAGCACTTGCCTAGCATGCATGAGGCACTGGGTTAGATCCTCAGCCCTACAAAAAAACAAAAAATAAAGATAGTACGTCCACTAAAACTAAAAAATATTTTTAAAAAATATTAAATTGAAGAAAAGATAGCAGAAGGAGTAAGTGCAGTTAAAATCAGAAGTTGATGGGTTGGTTAATAATTTTTAAAGTCTAAAATAAGTAGATCCAAAAGATGGACAAAGCCCTGTCAGTGCTAATCAAGAGAAAAAACAATGTTGCATTAGGAATAAGATAAAATATAGCTACACAGAACATTTTAAGAAAGTATAGAATAAAATATTAAAAATAAGCTGTAAGTTGGGCTGGGGTGGTGGCTCAGTGGTAGAGAGAGCTCTTGTTAGCACATGTGAGGCCCTGGGCTCCATCCTCAGCACCACATAAAAATAAAGGAATGAAATAAATATAATGTGTCCAACCACAACTAAAAAATGAATGTTAAAAAAATAAGCTGTAAGTAATTTCTAAAAATGTTCAAGTGCCAATGGGCAACAGTGGAAGACACTAGAATATTTTTTTTTTTGAAAGAGAGAGAATTTTCAATATTTATTTTTTAGTTCTCGGCAGACACAACATCTTTGTTGGTATGTGGTGCTGAGGATCGAACCCGGGCCGCACGCATGCCAGGCGAGCGCGCTACCGCTTGAGCCACATCCCCAGCCCTAGAATATTTTTTGAATATGTAATAAAAATAAAAGCTGTCGAGCCCGGACGTCTTCCCTGGGTGGCTTAGTGCTGGGGTTCAAGGTGCACGACTCTGGATCCTGTAGGCAAGCTCCCTGCCAGCGATGGCCTGCGTGAGCCCCCCACGCCCCAGCTCTCCCACCTTAGGGGGGTGGGGGGTCCCCAGGGATTCCCCACAGGTGGGTCCAGGTGGCTGCTGCTGTGAGTGGGAGCTCAGGCCAGCGACTTGCCTCCCTGGGCGGTGGCAGGAATCGAGGTCCCCACAGCTGTTGCAGAGGTGACGACACAGGGCCTGGGGGAGAGAAGGCAGCACAGTGTCCCTCAGTGTCCACAGAAGATTGGTCTAGAACCTCCTGGAGACCAAAATCCACCCGAAGTCCCTTCTGTAAAATCATGCACTATTGCACCCCAGCTGGGCACATCCTCTGTGGCCTTCAAATGTCCCTTGGGGACTTAGGAAACCAGATATAGTGTCACAGCCCTGAAAGAGGTGTCGTGTCATCCCAGTGGCTTGGGAGGCTGAGGCCGGAGGATGGCAGGTTCAAACCAGCCTCAGCCACGGTGGGGCCCAAGCCACTCAGGGAGGCTGTGTCCCTAAAAACAGTATAGAACAGGGCTGGGAGGTGGCCCAGTGGTCAGTGCCCCTGAGTTCAGTCTCTGGTACCAAAAAAAAAAAAAAGAGTTGTCACTGTGTTGTTTAGGGAATCACAACAAAGGAAGATGTCGGAACGGGTTCAACACACTTTTCTTTTTTCTGGAATGTGCTGGGTGTCTGGTGGGTGGACACTCGGCCATCTGCATTCATAACTCCCAGTGACAACGGGTCGGGTCAGGGTCAGCACCCCACGGCCTCCCAGACCACTTCGCGCCAGCTGGGCATGGTCCTACCTTGGTAGATGACTGGGCACAAAAGTCAAATGAAAAAGAAGAAATTTCTAGAAAATTCTGATTTCACTGCCCTTAGTGAAGTCTTTCTAGCGCACCGACCACTTGGTACAGATCAGCTGCAGCTGCTGTAGCAGGGACCGGGCCATCGCTGCGAGGCTGGACGCCCCGAGCTCTGGCCTCCGCGGGGGGAGCTGGCCCTGCCCACGGCTGCGGGTCCAGGTAGCTGAGGAGGGCGGAGGCTGAGCATCCCCCATCCAAAGTGTCCCCAAGTGTGAAACCTCTTGAGCTCCAGCAGAAGGCCCCAGTGGACAATCCCACACCCGGAAACGGTCCCCTACACAGACGTGAAGTTTCAGTTTTTCACTCCAGATGCAAGAATCAGTGCGTGTGGGAGGGGAGGACGGAGCACCAGTGTCCTGTCCCCAAGATGCTCCACCCTAGACCTGGGTGCGCACAGTCCCGAATCCAAAAACACAGCTTCTGCCGCTCTCCCGGTCGGGCGCTGTGGCAGGGACTATCAACCACTGGGTCCCTTTCAGGAGTCACCATGGGGCTCTGAGAGGCCGAGGGCGCTGGGGTCTCACGCTCTGTCCCCTCCTCGCAGCGCATTCTGGAGGACAAGGAGGAGAAGCCGCTGCCCGCCGCCCTGGTCCAGCCCCACACGGGGACGCTGCGCTGGTTCCTGGACGAGGCGGCCGCCCGCCTCCTGTCGGTGCCCTTTGAGAAGCATTCCACGTTGTAGCCGGCAGGGGCACGCCAGGGCCACCAGGGCCACCGAGGCTGTGCGCCAGGGACCTCCCGGGGCTGGGCCCCTCTGGCCACCGCTCCCAGCTGCGTTTGGGAGGAGCCACGTGGTGCTGCGAGAAGGAAGGGACCGGCTGCCAGCTCTGCCTGGGGGGTCAGCCACGCCGTGGGGCCGGGTGACCTGCGTATTAAAGGGAGCATTGCTGGAAGTCCCCACTGTCCTGTGGTCCTTCACGACAGCAGCCCGGGGACCCCGCCCGCAGCCCTGGCCCATTGGCAGAGGGTGGGGCCTGATGTCCCCGAGGCCAGGGCACCTGGTGTGGCCAAACAAAGTTCCACAAGCTGGGTGGCCGAGGACAGGAGAGTCACCCTGTCCTCAAGTGGCAGTGGGAAGTCCCAAGTCAGTGTGGGGGCGTGTTCCCAGAGGCCCCGAGGCAGGCTCCCCGCAGGCCTCTCCTGCTTCTGGTGGCCACTGCCTTCATCCTTGGCGTCCCTGGGCTGGGGACGCCTTGCTGCAGTCACAGCCTCTGTCACCCTGTATGTCTGTCTGTCTGTCCTCCCGCTCCTCCTCCTTCCTCTGCGGTGCCAAGAGGTGAACCCAGGGTCTCGCACCTGCGAGGCCACCACCTGGTAGTGGCTCCACCTCCGAGCCGCGCCCAGCCCTTTTGACCTTATTTTGGGTCAGTCTTGCTGAGTTGCCCGGGCTGGCCTTCAACTTTCGATCCTCCTGCCTCAGCCTCCAGAGTGGCCAGGATCATAGGTGTGCGCCACCGTGCTCGGCCTCTCTCCTGTTAAAAGGACGGCCGAGGTTGGACCTGGGACCACCCTAAGGAGTCCCCTCTGCAGAGACCCTTATTACAAACCATGTCACATTCTGAAGTTTCAGGGTCAGGACGTGGATATTCTGGGGGCCACAGTTCCTCCTCAGCCCACGTCCCCGAGTGCTGACTGCCCCGCAGGGCCAGCGGTGGCCCCTGGGTCTGGCTGACGGCCGGCCTGCTCAGCACCTGAGGCCACCAATGTGCCCAGTTCTGCCCAGAGTGCCCGCCGCTGCCCACCCTGCAGCTTCTCCCAGCTCCAGGGACCCCACTCAGGAGGCCGGTGGGCACCTGGACCGCTCAGCCCTGCGCAGCTCTGGGGGGTGTGGGGGTCCTGGGGCAGCCCCGAAGGCTGAGCACAGTGGGAATTGAAACCGCCTCTGGAGGCAGCTGCACGGGAGGGAGGGAGGCCGAGCCACAGAAAGTGAAGTTCCCTTGGGCATCTGGTCCCTGTGGGTCGCTCAGATGTGAGTAGAGGAAGTGGAGCGAAGCCTGGGCGGAAACTGCCTGAGAACTGAGCAGGAGGGAAGCGGCCGCGCTCTTAGTAGGGCAGCTGCGGTGGAGGCTGGGCAGGGGCTGAGGAAGGGGGACGGAAGGTGGGTGTGAGGACCTCTGGCAAGGGCCCTGCGGGCCTGGGCCATCTCCGTCCCTGCTAAGCCACATTCCAGCCGCAGGGCCTTTGCATGTGCTGTGCCTGCCGCCCAGTTGTCCCCTTTTCCAGCTCTCTGCCCAGCTTGGCCCTCGTTCCCTAGGTCCTCAGGCCCCCTCCCCCTCCCCCTAGGCATTTGCCATCCCCCCTCCATTCCTCCCACCCTTGTTATCTGACAGTTTGGTCACTGTGTTTATTTTGCTCCCCTGTGACTGATGGTCCCTGGAGGTCTATTTTTTGCCACTTCTGCACCCTCTGCTGCGAGGAGGGATGTTGAAAGAGAAGATGGATCCTGTGGCATTCATGCAGGGCACGTTCAGATGTGACGGATGGCTTCCACAAAATAGAAGTTCATGTCTTTCTCTGGAGAGAGGGCAGCCAGGGCTGATGGAGCAATGTCATAAACTCTTGGGGACCCCAGTTCCTGCTACATTATTGCTGTGCCAACACTATCATGTGGGATCTACCTCATAGTCCAAGAGGGCTGCTTATGCTCTAGCCTTTGTGTCTGTATCTCAGCCACTGGAAGAGGAAGAGGAAAAGGAGATTGACTCTAGGGAAACATCCCAGGATTTACCCCAGACACTTCTGCTCACATCTTCATGGCTGGACTGTGCAGCACAGCCCTGTGTAGCCGCAGGGAGACTGGGAGACATGGTCCATTTAGTAGCCTTGTCATGGAGACCCCAGGGAATGTGTTCTGTGCACTGACCAGAGCCCCTGGGCTGGGGGCAGGGCAAGGAGAGGGAAGGGGCGGGTGATGGGCTGGGGGGTGGGGCAGTGCCAAAGGACTTGGGGTGAAGCCTCAGGGTCCCCCCTCTTTCCTTTGAGGGTCCCCATCCTCTAGGACCCCAGCTTGGGGACTTGTGGGGACTTCTAAGCCAGAACTGGGTCCTCTCCAGACCCAGCGTGGCCCAGCACCGGGAGGCACAGGTGGGGGTGGACGCCAGGACTGAGGTGCCCTTCGTGTCCATCCCCCTTCCCTGCCCCCACACCCGACTGCTGTCCTGTCCTGCTGCATGTCTGCCCTGCATCTCTCCCCCAAAGCCACTCAGGGCTTTCCCCCGTCCCCACAACCTCCCCCTGGGACTGCCCCAGAGAAACCACCAGCTCTGGGAGCGAGGCCCCCCGGGACTGGAGGAGGACGCAGGTGCAGGGCGGGGCAGGCTGGCATCTGCACCCCTACACCCCGCCCTGCCGGCTTCTGCATGGCCACATGCCCAGGCCACCAGGCACCTTGTTCCTGGGGTGTCCTGTGCCCAACAACCTGGGAGGCTGTGGGGAGAAGGGTGCCCTCTCCACCCCAGGGGCCCGGGAATAACAGCAGGATGGGGGCCCGGCCCTCCAGTCACCTGGACAAGCAGCAGCAGCAGCAACTGAAGGGTGAGCCGGGGGTGGGGGGGCGGGGGGGCGCGGCCGGCACTGGGTGAGCCCGGGGCACAGTGACCTCCAGACGGAGCGGTGATTTGTAAGTATAAATGGGACACTGGACAAGGCTCCTTATTTAAATGAATTCAAATGTGACTAATGTTCTGCGTTTTTATTTGGTGACTCCGATGACCTGTTTGGGGCAAGGTTTCAAAGTATGGGGCATGGGACCAGGTGGGAGGTGTTCTGGGCACAGTTGGGCCCCCAAGGATGGCCCTCCTAGGTGGTTGGGCCCACCAGGTCCGTCTGCATGCCCTGGGGACTGAGGAATCAGAGCCAGAGTTGGTGCTGTCTGAGTTACTCTGTTCCCTCATATTGAGATTGAGCACCTACTGTGTGCTGAGTCCTGGGGACATGGTAAGGAAACAGGGACAAGTCATGGTCAACCAAATGGCAGTTGGACTGGAAATCACGGTGGGAGTGACAGATGGAGATGGAAGAGGGGAGACGGGGTCACATGAGGGCTGGGGCGTGGCGGAGTGGGCAGGCAGGACATGTGGGAAGAGCATTGCGTCATGGGAGAACTGCACGTGTGCAAGGGTCTGTGGCGCACGTTGCAGACTGCCCAAGTTCAGAATTAGGCGCTGGCCTCACTCACTGTGCCCTCGGTGAGTGCTGTCCCCTGTCTAGGACTTATTCTCCAGACTGTTGACAGGCAGCGAAGCCTGTCCTGGAGAGCCGCTGGAGGACACAGTGAGTCACTCACCTGTGCAGACTTGGGACTTTTTTTTTTTTTTCTGTAGTGGTTTAAACAAGGTTACGATTTAGCTGGGTGTGGTGCTGTACACCTTCAATCCCAGCTACTTGGGAGGCTGAGGAAGGAGGATTGCAAGTTCAAGTTTCAGCCTGGGCAGCTTAGTCAGACGCTGTCTCAAAAAATAAAGAGGGTGAGGATGTGGGGAAAGGCCCACTCAGACTCTGCTGGTGGGACTGCAAACTGGTGCAGCCAATCTGGAAAGCAGTGTGGAGACTTCTGGGAACATTGGGAATGGAACCACCATTTGACCCAGCTGTCCCTGTCCTCCGTCTATACCCAAAGGACTTAAAAACATCATACCACAGGGACACAGCCACACCCATGTTTATAGCAGCACAATTCACAGCAGCTGAACTGTGGAGCTGCCCTCATGCCCTTCAGTGGGCGAAGAGACTGGCGCACACACCAGGGAATGTCACTCCGCAATAAAAGCCTGTGCAAGTCCCCAGGCAAAGGGGCGGGAGGGCTCCTGGGAGGTGAGGGGTCTGCTCCAGCTCTGAACTTGGTGACCCTGGCGTGGATGTGTGACCGGGCTCGGTGCTTTAGACTCTGAATGACATTTACAGAAAGACACCAGCGAGGCCCGAGTCCCCGGAGCCCGTGGAGACAGTCGGGACTCCCCGGAGCCCGTGGAGAGGGTCGGGGTGCCGAGGGAGAACAGGATTCAGGACAGGTCTCCTCGGCAGCCTCAGGGCCCCATCTGATCTCTTCCCAGGCAGCTGTTTAGGGCCCAATGGGGCTGCTGTCCCTTTGTCCCCGCAGGTGAGGTGGACGTCCTGCTGAGGAACTTCCTGCCTTGTTACCGCAGGCAGCTGGCCGCGTCTGTCCTGAGGCAGATCTCCAGAGAGCTGGGCCCCCAGGAGCCAGCCGGATGCCAGCTGTTTCGCAGCAAAGTGGGTGCCACTGGGTGCAGGGGCCTGAGTGTCCCGGCCTCCTCAGCCCACATGCCCTGCCAGGGCCTTAGCAATATTCATCTTTGGAACAAGTGTTCCCTGTGTGTGTGCTTCACACCGCATCCCTGGTTAGGTCCCTAAGGACACATGGTGGCGGCAGAGGCTCACAGCCTGTAATCCCAGCAACTCAGGAGGCTGAGGCAGGAGGATCATAAGTTTGAGGCCAGCCTCTGCCACTTAGTGAGGCCCTCAGAAATTTAGTGAGACCCCTTCTCAAAATAAAATATAAAAAGAGCTGGGGCTGCAGCTTAGTGGTAGAGCACCCCTGGGTTTAATTCCCAGCACCCAAAGAAGAACAGGAGGGGGGGGCTGTTAGAGAGTGGTGTTGGCTGCCGTCCTAGCTGCTCAGGAGGCTGAGGCAGGAGGATCCCTTGAGCTCGACAGTTGGAGGCCAAGCTGGGCAACAGCTCAGGAGGAGGAGGAGGGAGGGGGGTCGGTGCGCCCTTCACTTGCGGCACCTGGACTTAAAAACATCACACCGCAGCCAGAGCTGTCCAGGGGATGGGGAGCTCAGCACCCCCTGGTCCTTTCTTGTGCAGAAGCTGCCGCGCGTCCGCGAGCACCGAGGGGCCCTGATGCACCTGCAGGGCCACCCGCCCCGGTGG